AGGAGCAAAAAGGCAATGAACAAATGGAAAATACAAAGCAAAACACACCAGTGGAAAGGAAAAAAAAGACACAGGAAAACAGACAGAGTCAAAAGAGAAACTGAAAAGAAGATGCAGTCGCCACTGTGCAAAGCACAGCTAGAGAACACTATTCACCATGTACACACCACCTGCACTTCTACAGGACAAGATTAATTACATTCTGTCCTAAAAACACGAAACTTCACAATGTCTATAGGGAGAACATTAGTATAAAGCAGTTGTTGCCCTTCACAGCTGGGACTTTATCATGCCCTTGAGACCAAAATATTTGCTTTGAATCAGAGGGAAAAAGAGTTACTGTAACCTTGGTGTTTCTCCATACATGCAATTCTACAATGCCCTCTACCAGGCCAAAAAAGAGTAGTAATATACAACTTTTATAGTCACGGTTTACATTGGCTCACAAGACCCATAGCTTGAAAGGGAAAAAAAACAGAAAATATCACAACTTTATCAACTGTTGATGTAATTTTGGCTATCTATACAAATAAATCATCCTAACAAATGTTAAGGTGGGGGAAGGGTTATAAAATGAGGAAGATTGGTTGTTTTTTTTTCCTCCTCCAAGCTTGAGAGATCTCTGTGGCATTTTCCAGCCTGCAGGCCGATTTTCAGAATTGCCAAACACTCATAAATCCTATTTACATTAACACAAACTGCTGGAGACTCAGAACTTTTGTCCCATGTCATATAAAAACCATTTGAAAGCCTTGGTGCATATCATTAACTTTACACAATCTTAAGAACAAAGAAGTAATTCTCCTTGAAATCATTTAATGTACAACTTTATTTACAAATGCTTGGAAGCTTGATAAGTAGATTAAAAATAAAGCAAAACTAACTAAAGATTAAATAATTACTCTTGCAGAACAAGTCTAATAAAAAGCTCCTGCTAAACGCAGGCATTTTCTTGCATACATCTGAATTACTAACCCTTTTTTTAAAATATTCAGAACCTATATTAGGTATGCAAGATTTTCAGCAACACTTCTTACTGCAACCTAGCAGCACACCTGCCATCTCCTCTTGAAAACACACTAAAGCCAGATCCTGACTGTGGTATCAGAGCTACTTCTTAGGGCATCCATACCACTTCATTTCCAAGTTGACATGCATAGAGAGAACAAATAGGTATAATTTATTTCATCGGCTGCAGGTTAAATATACCCACTATTACCTTTATATGTGAAGTCAAAGAATGGGGATGTTGAAGCTCTGCCTCTTCCACTACCCACCAACACCTCCCCCTCCCTAGACATGTTCCTAATTCTATGGGAAGAGAATATCATTCTAAACTGAGTATTCAAAAGCTCTTGGAAAATACCAGCTTTAAGCAGGTCTCATCTTCAGTTCATGTAATGGCATTTTGCTCATCCTGATAATGAATAGAATTGTTATAGGAGCATACATATCCTCTTGCAATAGAAGCTCCAGGAGCAAATTGTGTAAGGGCACTGTATAGTGAGCCTTTTGTGACTTACTGGTGAGAAAAGCTTATGTAGGAGTGGACTAACCAACTTGTACCCACAGCAGAAATACTATCTATTGAAATCAAATTTAAAAATTGAAGACTAAGAAGTATTTGCAGAATAGTGTAGGTCAAATCCCATATATAGCTCCCTAGCTCTGCTTAAACTTTCCTTTTAAAAACTGCCACTTTAAAACTCTGTTCAATTCCACAGGGTTAGAGTATAGCCTCTTTAAGGCAAAAGTCAAGTATATCTTGTTTTGCTTGGCTAAAGACAGAAGTTACACATAAACCGGTTTAAGTGATCAGAAACTGGTTTAAGCCTGTAACAGAACAAAAGTTCAGTGCACATAAACCAGTTCGAAAATGGCTGAAACTGGTTTAAGATAAACCTGGTTGAATGTAGTATCTGAATACTCATCAAATGTCTACTTATTTGTTCTATGTTGTGCCTGATGTAGTCCTCGCCACGTCAAAAGCAGCACAGCATCCTAAAAGCTGATCTAATTTCCATTTTCAGTTCCCCTGTATATATTTAAGTACTGATTCCATAAAAAGCAAACAACTGCACTAATCTTAGTTGTCACAGAGCCCTAGCCTATATTTAAATGACAATGAATTATTGGGATGAAAGGCTATTTAAGACAGAATGGCTTTATTATAATAGCAAAAGATATTAAGCAGATGCAAAGTTAGTTTACACTTCAACATTTTTGTGTCTACAGTTCCAAAACTGGTCATAAGTCTACCAAGTTAGCAAGTTATGACAAAACTTACAAACTTCTAATTTTACTACAAAGTACTTTTAAGGAAGCATATATTAAATTCTCATGATAAGCAGGTTTCCATTACAAAATAGCAACAACTGCATAAATCTATCTACCGCTTAGCCAGATGCTTGTTGTTACCCTATTCTGAAAAGAAACAAATTTGATCTGTAACAGCAACAAAAAAAATTTGAAGCAAATCTCACATAAAGCATGTAAATTATTTTTATTCTATGTAATATTATTTAAAAGATGGATATTTTTCCATACGGGAGGCAAAGAATAAGACTAATATTTGGACAGACATCATCTGTTCAAGACAAATTATGCTTTTACTTGTCAATGGTTGGCACCATGTCAAAACTTGCAATGAAAATCATATTACCATTACACAATCAAGATTCTCTGGCATTAGGAAATGCTCAGTGCTATTTCACTTCAGTCTACTGCTATTAAGTGGATTTGGAGTGTTTAAATTCCAGAAATTATTGCCCTGAGTCAGCAGCTTGACCATTCATTTATCTTTGTCCAGTGACTGAAATTTACCAACATTTTCTTCTCAGTGTTTCAAGGTTCATTATCTTTCCCTTCCCTTTCATTATTTTTTCTTATTCTAAGCCATTTATATCCACCCCTATCATCCTTAAACTTATTTTCCTGGACAGGGTAGAATTTCTGAATAATTTGTGAAGAGACCATGTCACTTCAAAAACAGTAGGGTTTTGTTTTTTAGGTTTTTGATTTTTCCCCATAAGACACTCTCAAGAACAGTAACTCTAAAACAACAGCCATTTATACACGTACTTTTCTGTCCCGCAACATGATGGATATCTGCTTCAGAGCAGATTTGATTAATCTCGATTGATGCGCAACATGCTGTACCGCATGCAGTTGGATCAGTGGCAAAATGCACATCAGCGTGCAGAAAATGGCGGCAGTGCACATTTTGAACGAAAGCACCTCCAGTGTGTTTTAGTTCAAAAGCATGCTGCCGCCATTTCCTCAGTGTTGAAACACATTTCACCACTTTGCCTGGTGCTACGGCGCTTCCATGTGTAAAAATTGCCCATAAGGTCTGTAGGTTGTAGCCATGTTGGTCTAAGGACATAGGCAGACAAGGTTTTTTGGGTGATGCTTCCTCAGCCTGACAAAGGGTAGTTAAACCCCAAAGTTCGCTAATAAGAATTTTTCCAACTATTTGAGCTGGTCTAATAAAAGATATCAGATTTACCCAAAAGAACCTTGTCTGCACAAGGTCTGTTATATTCTTCATCTTGAAACAAGTGACATAGGGCAAATTTTGCAGAAAACAGGAAATGATGCTCCTTATGTATTTAGGTTCAAAAAGCTCCATGAGAGGTCAGCAGATTTTTAAAATTGGCCAAAGGTATAGCAGTGTTAGAAGCTCTGCTGGCATGAAATTATGCTAACCAGTTTGGTTCCAAGGAGGTTACAGACCGCCAATAGCCTATTCATTTGATTATTCAATTATTTGGCATTTCAGTGAACCCTTGTATATCAACCTATAATTATTGTAAAAATAGCTCTCATCGGTACAAAATAATCTATAGAATATCTCCACATGCTGATAATTAAAAATACACGTGCACACTGAAAAAAAAATGAAAAACAAGGATTTTGAGAAGAAGATGCCTAAAATTACACTGGTGACCATATTTAGGGTTTGTAAAGTGGCCAGGTTTTTAAAGAGCGCCCAGCAGTTCCCCTGTATTTAAAACTGCAAACTGGCCAACTTTAGTAAAAGATGTCTCAAGAGGCTGAAACCTGATCTACCCCACAATTACTCAGGATAAAAAGGAAGGTTGAGTTGGGTCTAATCTACGTCAGACAATTTGAAATGTAGTAACATTATACATACCACAACTTTAGCATTCAGCATAGGCCAAACAGTTTCTCTTTGCATCACATCAGTGAACTGTGATTAAATTCTTGTCCTAGCACATACCAGCAGACAGCAGGGTTTAACCATGTTTAACCAGTGTTGTGTTGCATCCTGTTATCCCTGACTCAAATGGATTGGTCAGAATTGTCAGTTCTTCGTTACCAGGTTTCAACATCGTAATGATACATAGTACAGACAATGTGCAAATCTATCTTGCCTTGACTCAACTGCCAGTCTCACAAAGAAGCACTAAAAGGTGAATTTAAGCCAAAAAAAGCCTGTAAATAAGACTTAACTTTTACATTATAATTGCACATATAAATACACATATATCTTGGCTGATTTTAACATCAGAGAGGCCAGTTTTACATCTCTCTCTATGTTCTGGATATTTCTTCTCCCTCATCATATCTTCCTTGTCATAAAAATATGATTTTCCATAATACAGACCTTTCAAAGAGTCCAAAGTAACGTGTATAGCCCTAGTCATCTTACTGAAATTATTCAGTGGAACAGTTGCATAAAGTTACTTCTATTCTGAAAGATCCCAGCTCTCTGAGTGAGATTTCCTATAATCAAAATGAAGAATACTATCAAGAATTTATAAAATGATATTGTACTGAGAGAGATGAAGTGCCTCAATTATATATCAAAAGTATGAATTAATTCCTGGGAATGGTTTGAACATTAGGACCTTTGCAGGACAGTAAGACCAATGGTTCTCAACTTTTTCAGGCTCAAGGCACTCTTTAAGAGAAAGGCAGCTGGTCCCATCTATTTTAAAACAGAATGGAAACATAATGCTTTGCACCATACTTACATATGAGGACTGAGTTCATAAAAGTTCCTGTTCCTGTATTCTTCAACCTTCTCAGGTGAATAAATAGGTAGTGATCTGTATGGATTTAATGAAATAACCACACTGCCGATGTATGTCTGGAGAAGAAAAACAAGACAGAAAAAACACAGAATTTTAATTCTCACCACAAGCATTGTTACGAATGGTCTTTAAAAAACACAGACAATTTTTATTATATTTAATTCCTCAATTCAGGTAAAGATTCAATATTCGCTTCAATATCATTATGTAACAATGGATAACGACAAAACACAACTTTATATACTAAAAATGCCTTTTAAAATCTCTCTTTTGCCTAACTTTTGTTACATTCATTGGTTACAAGCTTCTCCATTGTATATACAGGTGAATATAAATTTTAAAAGACAAAATGATGAGCGCTTTGTAATAAGATATACAAAAATAAGGTTATTCACTGTTTGTTAATACTTTGTTGGGTTCAACCTAAGGACCTATTGCTTGTTAAAACTGAAGCGGCAAAATCCCTATTTAGGAAGCAAATATGGTACATGCCACTTATCTGCATATGGGATACATGTATAATTTGCTTAACACAGCACCAGTCCCAAGTTATTTCCTATGACATTGTTATAAATTGTGGTTGTGCCTAAACCACCTAAGTACAAAAAAAAATCAGTCCAACTGTGTACTTTGTAATGTTATTGTACTCCCTTTAATTGTATAATTGGTGAAACGTATTAGGAGTCATCAATTTCAAAGCTTCTTGAAACCAGTTTGTTTTAAAGCAGCCTTGAACCAATTAAGTTCTGTTAAATTCAGGGCTGCTATTACAGGTCTGAGAAGGTGAGCTTTAAGGAGTGCGACCTTAACCCAGGCTGCTCCTGTAGGTCATAAGTATTGTTTATATGGTGCTCTATCTAGTAATCCAGGTAAGTGCACAGCCTTTTTTCAGTCACTTGGCCATATCCTTGTAACAGATTATACTATATCAAAAGGTTGCCACTGTTTCAGACTGGTTCCTTATATTAATATTTCACATATCAAAGTTGTTTAACGTATCATTGAACTAAAAACAATTGCATGAGGGACACTAATTCAGCTGTGGGGAAGGATGGTGGGAATCCAAAAACCACCAATCAGAAAGTCTCCAGGATCCACTGCTGAGTCAATCCTTAACCTCTCCAGTATTGAAATACCCTAAAACAGGGGTAGCAAACTCATCTAGCCCCAACTATGATGGCACAAGCAGATCTAGGATTTTGAAAAGGGGAATGCAGATGGTGAGGTGCATCACCACATATAAAACAATACATTTTTGTACAGTTAAAAAGAAACTAGAAGCTTTACTAGCATGCCAGGGGCCTAGGGCTGTATTATTCAGTTTAAGACTGAAAAAATAATAACTGTAACTTTATTGGAATGAATTAAAAATGGTTTGTAGGGCTGTGTTTCACTACCAGCTAACAGGCAGCAGAATTGCAGAACAAAGACTAACTTGACTGATGGATACAAAACCATTAACAAGAAAAGAGGGTGGTTAAGACCTGTGGAATGAAGTTTAGAATTTACCTGATCCCTCCTAATGAGCCATGAGTGACTTCCTCAGCATTGCCCGACTAGAAATGCTGCTGCCACTGCCAGGCAGCTGGTTTTAAACTTTGGGTTGCACAAGAATAAAAGGGGAGTGCAAGTGCCCAGTACACATCTCTGGATCCACCCCTGGACGAGGGTTATTGTGCCAGTCTGCATGCCACACATACCACCAGCTTTGGCACAGCCCGATACGGACCAGCCCTGGCATCAGAATGTAGAGCCAGTCTGGCACAGGCGCCACATGTTCCATGCTGCCCCATGTTGCACTCAGAGTATGCAACGGCAGATCCAGCCTAGGTGTCACCTACAGCATGAGGGTCCAGGGCCAGCTTATGCAGTCCAGCAACCTACAGTCTAGACCACATAGCTCCACAGGCTGGATCCTACCTGAAAGCCTTAATTTTCCTGCTATAGAGAACATATTTTCAACTCTGAGGTGCTTTAGCAACACTAATAGGAATGCCATAGGACTACAGCCTGTATTTGTAAAACAGCCTAGCTTTCTCCCATAAAACATCTAAAGCTACATAGGAAAGAAACTTGAAGGCTCCTAGACTCTAGAAGCCTGCCAGAAAGATCTGAAAAGTCAAGGTTCAAGCCAGTTTTTACTTCAGGCTTGACACTTGCCATTTGTTTTTCAAATTTTAAATACTGCAGCAATCATCCAGATTCTCAAAACTAACAACCTAGTCCTTTCTCAGTTTTTTCTGTCTGCTACAAAGCTCTTAACACAGCATGGAATAATATCACTAATAGAAGTTCAGAATTACACCTGCAGGACAAGGGTCTAATAAAAAGCTTCTACTAAAGCAGGCCTTCTCTTGCATACATCTGAATTACTAACCCTTTTTTAAAAACATTCAGAACCTATATTAGAAATGCAAGATTTTCAGCAACTCTGCTTACTGTGATCTAGCAGCGTAGCTGTCATCTCCTCTTGAAAACACACTAAAGTCAGATCTTGATTTGCTACTTCTTAGGGCATCCATACCACTTCATTTCCAGGTTGACATGCATAGATTGAGAGCAAATGGGTATAACTTATTTCCTCAGCTGCAGGTTAAACATACCCACTATTACCTTTACAAGTGAAGTCAAAGAAGCTCTGCCTCTTCCACTACCCACCAAAACCTTCCCCTCCCCAGACACGTTCCTAATTTTGTGGGAAGAGAATATCATTTCCATGAGCTTTTGAATACTCAGTGTAGAAATACCAGCTTTAAGCAGTTCTCATCTTCAGGTCATGTAATAAGCCGTATCCTGATAATGAATCAAATTGATATAGGAGCATACTGTATCCTCTTGCAACAGAAGCTCCAGGAGCAAATTGTCTAAGGGCACTGCACAGCACAAATACTATTTATTGAAACGTGGCTAAAAATAGCCCCTACATGGTCTTCCAATTTTCCTACCTTTATCAAAGCTCTCACTCGGGCACTCTACCAAACTCTACTACAAAATCCCCAGATTTTGACACTGGAACAAAGCAAGCTAGAAATTTCACAAATCATTAACCCAGGCTGTTGGCAGACTCAGGAGGAGTACACTACTTCAGATTCCATGAGACCTCTCCGTTTCACAACCATGAGGGCTACAAATAATTTAAATAAAATTATATGATGGAGAATTATGCTCCATCAAGTGGTAAATTCCACAACAGCTTTAACAGCTGAAGAATCACAGAATACACAGGCACTGATTA